TTAAAGCTAAAATGAATAGAGAGAAATATTAACTGATGGTACATGGAAGGGATTATAATCATTGTAATGAATGTATAATATTGTAATCATTGTAATGATTATAATCATTGAATGTATAACTGATGATCTGTCCTGTAAGTTTTCACTCAATCTACAATAAAAACCTAAAAAAAAAATTCCAATTTTCTAAGATTTGTACTTCATACATTCCATTTTCTGATTATTAATGGATGTTTACAGCTTTCCCCCCTCATTTTATATTATGATCCAACAGCAGTTGATGGTTCTACTTTGTGGCAGCATCCGCTCCTCAGTTGTATTTTGTGTGTCTCCCAACCTGAGTGGCTCCTCTTCTGACATAATATATGACAATATTCTGATGCCATTCATAATATTTTAATATTAAGTATTCTAATGCTATCTGACAATCTTGCCCTGTTATTCATAAGGTTTCCAAATATTCAGAAGTGGTCAGTCTCTCCTTTTTCCTATTCAGAAGTGGTCAGTCTCTCCTTTTTCCTATTCAGAAGTGGTCAGTCTCTCCTTTTTCCTATTCAGAAGTGGTCAGTCTCTCCTTTTTCTTATATTGTCTTAGTCTGGAAGCTCAGCTGGAATTTTCTACCACGAGTTTCCCTGCTGGCATTTAAAATGCTGGTGGTATAGCTTCCAATATCACATCAACAAGAAAACCATCACAGTAAAACAAACTGACAGATGAACACTGGAATTATCAAAGTAATTAAAACTAATTTTTGCCATTTTCCCTACTAAGAATCATTCTTTCTGCCCGTCTTTCAAGACATACTGGTGCATTCTAAATTTAGGCAGTCCATATTATGTCTTCTCAGTATTGTTTGTCAACACCATACTTTCAATTCACTGACATTTCTTCATGTTTCTTTCTAATTGTCTAGCTCTTTCATACAAATACGGTTATTTAAAATATGGTATCAGTGAGATTCACCTTGGTCCTCAGTAACATCTTTGTTCATGAACACTTTAAAGAAGTCTTTTGTAGCATATCTGCCCAATGCAATATATTATTTCATCATTTGATTTCTTGCCTTCTGCATCAGTAGGTAAATGACCTTTTTAAAGTGTTAAAAGCAAAGATAAAATGACATTCTCGACAGTTTCAGTATTTTATTGTGCAAATGAAAACTGTACAATGCCAAAGTTGTGAGGCTTTAAATTTTCTTTATATTTTGGTGCAATCTGTACTGAAGGTGATAATCTGTGATCTTCAATAAACTCTTCAAGTCCACTACACTCTCAGAAAGCAAGGTTGTGTTACCTGATTATTGCAGGTTGTTAATGAGTATCAAATTCCCCTCTTTTTCATATAATCTAGTTT